CAGGAGAGATTTTGGGATACAAAAGAAGAGTGGCCCAGTCTGCTGTTAGTCAACAGCTGGGACAGACTGCAGTGTCTGTAAAATGTTTTTCTTAACTAAGACTACAAAAGCTCATTTCTGCTACTTACAGGACTATCTCATGGAGAACCAGTATTTGACATGACTTTATTTGGATAAGGAATTGCTCTTATTTGTGGTACAATGCCCAGAAACTCAGCACCTTATAGAAAATTAAGCCCAATGGATTTTGTGCTCATTGTTCCTCTCTACCACTTCAAATCAGAGATTAGCTGTAGGTGTCCCTGTTTATTGCAGGAGAGTTGGACCATATGACCTTTAAAGATTCCTTCCAACTCAAACAATTCAATGATTCTATATGAACTGTATAAAAGAGAGCTGAATCACCAATTGGCTTTGTCTATATGAGTTTGCCTGTAGAGCTGTCTTTGCACAGACATGCAGGCCAGTTTATTTTGGTGAAGCAGTGATCAAAGGCACAATGCTAAGATTCAGTGTTGCCGTGTTGCAGAAAAAGGCTGGAATTAATTTGGATCGACTAAAATTAGAAACCATCCCCCACCTCACAAGACAGATGTGAGCTTTGAAGTCAGGAAGACTAGAGCAAGACAAGCCAGTAGAGAAAGCTTCCCATCAATCCTATTTCTAATTTGTTGTCTTGATGCCTTCAGAGCATCCCATTACCGGACAGCTGGCCCAGTCTGGTGACTTGTCCTTGACAGAGGTGAAAAACTGGTGGCAGAAGACACAGAACACTTGAATGAGTGACGCTACAGCGTATTTTTGAGAATGTGTTCTTCTCAGCTGAAGGAATTTATGATCAGCCTAGGGTGGAGGTCAAAGAAATGTAGAGTCCTTATACTACCTGCTCTGTGATGCTGACTGTAGGTACAAGCAGAGCTCTGTACAGGATTAACATCTGTTTATTCTTTTGAATATGCATTGTCTTGCGCTTTTTTGGGGCTGGTGCCAGCATGTTGGTTCAGCATGGCCATCCCATGCAGCTGAAGGAGTCCTGTTCATTTAATAAATATTTTTCTATTTGAGGACCTTTATCTCTGCCTTCCACCACAGATGGATGATGGCTTGCTTGCCAACACTGGGCTGTCTCCTGGATGTTCTCCCTGCACCTCCCTTCGCTCTTTGAGGTGGTGGTCGCGGTTAACGGTGGCTGTGGTTAAACAGCATGGCAGAGGTCTGAAGGCCAGATTCTCAGGAAACTGTAAAGAGCAGTTTTGATGAAGTCACAATTTTGCACTTATCTATGCTCAACGCCTCTGTGTCGCTTTTTTCCTGCCTCAGAGGAGATATTCAGCTCAGTTCCTTTGTGCTGTTCTGATGAGTAATCCTCTTATTGGGGAAATCCCTGACGTATAGGTCTGGATTTTCAGACTGCTCCCTACTGCAGACTCATAACTTCCAAGTGATAGATGACTGCAATGTTGTAATCCACACTATCAGTGAAACAGGCTCTGTTCTGCAGATGCTATCTCACCTTTCCAAATAGCCTAATGCAACACTCACTTAAAAGTTTCAGCCTAAAGGATTGCTCTGACAGATTGGGTCATTTTCTCTTTGCAAGTATTCTGTGCATTGACATGTGGACATGAGCCAAGCACAATCTGAAATAGAATCTGTTGTACAGTGCAGACCCATTCTTCCATGCCCAAATATCTCTTACAGTCTAGGAAGTGCCTTGATCCTGCTCCTAATTTATTGACCCAGTTTGGGCTAGTCAGGAAGTTATACTCTCTTAGAGTCTCTCATGAATGCTCATAGTGTGGTTTTGCACCCTTGTGCTGACTGGTATACGGGAGGCTCACTGCTCTAGATTGTCTTCTGATGCTCATTTTTCCCACATCTGAGTGACAGTGAGTGGCACTGATCTGATAGGAAACCTAGCTTTCAGAGCCAACTTTACTTTCCTTCTGGCTATGCCGTGCAGGCAGGACAGTACTGATGTGAGGGATGGATGCTGATGCTAGCATGAACTTCTTATCTTCAGGTGAAGATACCCACTATTCTTCCACAGGTGGAAGACAGCAACTTACAAAATAAGGCTTTTTCTGAACAGAGAGCTTGTAAGAAAGGGCTATGAAGCAAATATCAGAGCAATCTTTTGCACATTCATATGAAATACAAAACAGCAAACTGGTGAGAGCTGCTTGTATTTCTGTGCTCTTGCTTTAAAGGTGCCAAGTACAAATTCCCTCATATTCAAACCTGATCTCCCTCCTCTCTGTTCTCATTTTCTCCACCTTTTTGTTTCAGTCTTCCTATTTCCAAAACAGCTTACGTCCCATTCTATAACTTGTTGCCTTAAATGCAAGTCTCTCACTTTTCCCCTCACTTCTATGGCACATCTACACTTGAAAGAGATGCTTTCTCTTCCTCCAGTATGCCCAGCCACAGCAGGACATTTCCAATGAGAAGTTCATTGCTTCCATTTGGACCAACCCATAGTGATGTCCAGTTGAAATGGCAGAAAGTCATCTTCTGTGAGAGTTGAGAATAGAGTCCTTGAGATATTCCAGCATATGAAATGCCCACAATCATAAATGTGGAACTTCATGTGATGATGGAAAAAACACACTATTGGTGAATGTTAGCCCAGTTACAATTGCTGACCTCCTACAGCGTGGGTGTGCAAGAGGATTTCAGAAATAAAAGCTTAAAAATCCTTCTCTCTTGCAATTCTGGCACAAAGGACCAAAACAATATACTTTTGGTAATGATGTTTTATTTTTTATGATTTTTTCCTCCCACTTGGAAGCTGCTATCCTGTTTGGCTTTCAGTGCTCTCCAAAAATGCAAATGTATCCTGAAGCAGCTGAGAAAACACCTCAGCACAAACAGTTATAATTAAACTAAATAATAGAAAGTGTTAGGCACCCTTAACATTGAGCAGTGTTGTAAATCAGGCCTATAATCTGAGCAGGTCTGGTATATAATTAATCTTTGGGGATGCTCTGAGTCACAACTTGCAGGTCATTAGCCAGCAAACTTCCACAGGTCTCCAGGGGCTGGAGATTAAACTCTGTGTGTGAATAATCATCCAATTAATCACCTCAGGCAGGGGATTTAGAGTGCTGGTGTCCCTGCTTTTTGGAACAGGTGTAGTGTGAAGAGGATATGCCAAAGTTTCATTACATAATTTGGTGCTTTCCAGTCCCTCTCTTTTTGAGGTCAGTTCCAGGCATGTCTGCTTGGAGTTAGGCTTTATTAGCATTAGGGAATACAAAACTGACCACTATGGGTGAGCTGAAAAGTGTTCAGACACCCCTGGCTCTTGAAAGTGACAAAACAGTAGAGCCTTCTTGTAGGTTAACTTACATCAAGCTACATGGCAAAGACTACGGCTGAGCTCTTGCAGTTCTATCTATATCTGAAACTATTTCTGATGCTGATCATCTGTATTTGAGAAATATTCTTCTAGAATTAAGGTTACCTCTTCAGGGCAAAGTGTGGTGATGTCCTAAAAGTGTTCCAGCCTCACTTTTGTGCAACTTCACCTCTTGCTAAGGAGATGCAGCCTGTATCTTAAGTACACATGGCCATTAGTGATTTCTCCTCTGGGCTGGAGTCTCTTTAACTGAAACTACAGCACATCTTGTTAATGGGTGCTCCATCTCACCTATATGAGCAGAGAGTTCCTCCCATCCCAGTGAGGCAGTGCTCACCAAGATCTGTGGCTGCTGGTCATAGAAAGGCCAAGAGTTAACGTCATTTATAAAAGCCAGTTACATCTACTTCATTATAGAAACCTCCCTAGTAACAGTGTCCACCTGGAGGTCAGTTCAGGCTCCAGATGTGACTGCATGCTGCAGAGTGTGTAGGGAAGACCAAGGTGTCATAGTAAGCAACAGAGAGATGCAGTTTAGGCTGTGTAGAATTGTTCCGACTTTGTAACTTTGTCTTAAGAAACTGGAAAATATTAATGGTATAATTCTTTAAATACAAGATTCCAGGGCAAAATATCTAAAATGTCCTTGAAACTTTTCAGTAAATAAACTTTTAAAGAAGTGTTTTGTAAAATTGCTCCCTGAAAAGGAGCAATTACCCGATTTCTTCTAGTTCATTCTGAGCGGCTTGCTGAACATTTTTGATGTTTTTATAATGATATCAGGAAGAAGAAAAATAGCATCAATATTCATAATAGAAGCAAGTATCTATTTTAAAGACACCATTCACCATAGTAAGTCTATGGATTTAACAGGCTTTTCCTGTATTATCAATACAATGCTGCAGCATTGATCCACAGCTATAGGGAACAATTGAATTGCAGTTCAACTGACTCATAGCAATTAATTGGCTCAGGGTATGAGGTAACACAATCAGCTGAAAATGTTCAACAATCAGATTTGCACTTTGTTTTTTTCAGAGATGACTCGGAAGTAGCATCCTAACCATCAAATCAGAAGAATGCAACAGTTCAGAATCTAGTGAATACTCTAGAAGCTCATTTGAATTTGAGGACAAAGTAACGATGGTTTATAAATGGGCAGGTTGGTTTTGAGATGTACAAACTCACATTTCTCTCTGTATTTTACTTTTAGTGCATTCATAATTGCTAAAATTCATTCAGACTACTCTTCAGACTTTGATGTTTTTTCTCCATTCAGCTCTTCAAAAAAGAAGCAATCATGAGCATTTGTAAGATCTGAGGTATAAAGACCTATATGGTCGATAAAGTGGTGGTGGATTTCAATGTAAACCTGGGATCTTTTGAGAATGGCTAAGCAAAAACCTGTTTAATTAAACTTTTCCCACAAACTGTGTATGCTGATTTTTTTTTTTTTAAATTTGTAGTGGAAATGCACATCCATGGCCTGAAACAGTGACTGAGCACCTGGTGGGAAGGCAGAGCTAACCTAGGGGAGCACAGGTGCATGCAATGTACACTGAGAAAGGGTAGAGCCAGGATTCAGCCTTTCTCAGACCTCATTTAAGGGTTGGCAGTGGTGGTAAGATTTTCTTGCTGGAGGTCCTTGAATATCTGAGGCCTTTTAAAGGTAAGTAGCTTCTTTCTGTGCTTGTTGTAAGTTTGTTGTAACTTAATGATCTTTTAATGTTTTGGTTATATTATCTTTACAGACTAACAGGCTTATCTTTAGTCTCATGCTGAAAACGTGGTTAACGCATAACAGATCTGACTCCCAAAAGAGTATTTTGCTCCTTTTGACTTCATTCGGACTTGTTGCTATTCAGACACATGGCATATAGCATCCCCAGACCTGATTTGTTGAAGGTCTCTGGAGCTTCATTCTGTTATGTTGAGAAAATTCAGAAGGTGATTTGATTGTTTTAAAGGGTGGTTGTAATCTGGATTAGAGCAATACAGGCTTAGGTGAATTCATAGTGTTACATAGAGGTGATTCCTTCTTCGCTGAGTTAAAGGGAAGACTGCTCTGAAGCCAGTGCCTTTTGAGCTCAGATCACTTGACCAAGAGATTATATCTTGGTATCCTGAAGGGTGTGGTTGCAACCTGAAACAACTTTGGCCAATGATCTTTGGTTGGAAATGAAATTGTAGATTTCTGTGAATGGGGTCAACGTACAGAAATAATGCATACAGTGGGGCTTCTTGAAAGCTGACGTGAAATTGAGTTGTGGCAGCTCTCAAAGACTGCCCAAAGGTTGAATTCCAAAAGATGTTGTCTCATGTTTTGGGGAACTGTTTGTGAGACAGAAAGCTCCCTTAGAACAGTCTTTTGTGCAGGTTAGCTTAGGCATCTATCGAATCAAGAATTTGTCTGCATAAAGAGAGAATGGTTAGGATTTTTCCTGTCGAACTAGCAGATTGAATGAACTGTTGTTGAAATGAAAGAGCTTGGGCTGACTTCCAAAGTAACATGCTAATGTACACAGAAATACTATCAAATTAATAACAGTGGGATTTATGGTCTCTGTCTTGCCTCTAGTGTTGGGGAAATACTAAATAAATCTTGTATCTTCTGCCTTCAAAGCAGAATGGATTTAATGGATGGAGAAGGGGCCAAATGGAAAAGAGACTTTGGGGTGTCTACCTAGAATGTCCCACTACAGCTTCATCACTGTGGCTGGGTCTGGCTGTGATATTCTATTGAAGGTGGGAAAACATCATTATCCTTAGAATTCTGACTTTATATTAAGTCTTAATGTGCTTCTTATGTTTTTCTTGACATTTTTTCTGAGTTCAGCCCCTTTGGGTTCGTTCATTCCACATAATTTATCTCTATGGTTCTACTCAACTTTGTAATGCTAGGCTAGGAGTATTTTGGGAAGAAATTATGATAGTATTCTAGAGGGTTTATGACATACTGTGCAATTATGTACTGCTGTATGAAAGTTGAATAAGAAATCAGTTGAATGAGCTGTGCCATTAACTTAAAGCTTGCTAACCCATGAATAATGTGATCATCACAGACACAATCATTGTAAAGGTTTTATAAGAATGGTTAGGATACTTTTGTCTGTATTTATGTATCTTAAAAGGAGGAAAAAAGTTAAGGTTGAAGAATCAAACTTTCAATGTTAAAGAGCTGGATTCTGCATTTTCATTTCTTTTGTTTTGTTTTCCTGCAGTAAAATAATGAGTTTTCCTTTAATAGGGAGTAAATGTTTGGGTAATGTTACTTTATTCCATATATCTTCCCTGGATGAGTCTTCCTATGTTTCATGGAGGCATTAACATATGAGTACAATGAAAGGAACTTGAATCTTCTCAAAGAGGTGCCACCTTGCCCAGCCATCTCTCTCCTTTCTAATTACGTGATATGTTTCTAGATGTCCTTCTGGTCCTCACAAAGAGAGAGGGGATGATTTCACGGCTGCAGGATGTCTTGGCAACATGGACTTTTGGTCTGTGTGATGAATTCCTGCGTGATGCTGAGCAAACTCAGCTGTCCTGAGCTCCCAGGTCCACTGAGAATACTGCAGTGTGGGAAGTTATTTGACTGTTTCCTCTTTTTAAGGGAGGAGTGGTGGGAGACAGTTCCACAGAGCAGGTACCTGGGTAGACAGAAGCATGACTGGAGGAGATTTGAACAATGTGTTCCTTCCAGGATGTCCTTCAACAGAGCATCCAGGGATAAATGAAAAGACAGCCTTTGTCTCTAGATAAGTTGGTAGGTGCTACTATTTTGGATTAAAATTTTCTTAGCTTTCCCAGTAGATCCAAGTCACAGTTCAGGGCAGAATTTGTTCAATTCCTTTCCTGGGATATTCTGAAGAGCTGTCTGGAGTCAGACGACTGCTCTAGTAGAGTTTAGTAAGAAAAGTTGTGTGGATTGCCTGGAATCTTCTCCCTCTGATGCTTTTCAATCTCCACCCTTTGGATAAAACACTGCATGATACGTTTGGTTTAGGCTCTGGGGAGCTCATTAATTAAGCAGAAAGAAGCATGAGTAGAACATGGATGTGTAGCCTATGTTACTCAGTCTCTGGACAAAACTGCTGCTGCTTATTCACCTCTGTGATTGATCACTGCTGTATTATGTTCTTTTCTGTTGTGAGTCACTTGTCGGATAGGATAGCCCTCCTTTGTCTACTGAATGTTGCGCAAAGGTTGCTAATTGAGTGACTCACTGCAGTCTATCATTTTTAATCTCAGCACTTTTTTTCTTGTTTGTCCGAGTATCACTTTAGATGGTGTTACTGATGCTATGGAATGCTTAAGCATTTGGTTACAGTAAAAATATCCTTAAAATGATGATTCAGAAAGCTAGTCTAGTAACCAAACCATGGACCTCTCTAGCATGAGAAAGGGTTCCTTCTCTTGATCCTGTGAGCTGTGGTGTTTTCCAGTAGTTTGCCAATTGTTTTGTTGCATCTGCTTAGATATGTTATGTGATAACCTTCTATGTGTGGATTGTCAATGTGGATAGAGTTGTGGAGACCTTGGAGGCCCTGGAGTCAGTCCAGCAAGTGACTTGCATGTCTCACATCCTGGGAGTTCTTGTGCCCACGAGCGTGGAGGTAGAATCATAGAATTCCTCAGGTTGGAAAAGACCTTCAAGATCATCAAATCCAACTGCAACCTAACCATACTACCCTAACTCTAACAACCCTCCACTGAATCATGTCCCTGAGCACCACACCCAAACAGTTTTTAAACACATTCAGGGACGGTGACTCAACCACCTCCCTGGGGAGCCTATTCCAGTTCTTAACAACCCTTTCTGTAAAGAAGTTTTGCCTAATATCCAACCTAAACTTATACTGTCACAACTTGAGGCCACTTCCCCTTGTCCTGTCACCAGTGAGAAGAGACCAACCCCACTCTTGCTGCATTCACCTTTAAGGTATTTGAAGAACGCAATAAGCTCTTCCCTCTTCCCCAGACTAAACACTCTAATTCCAGGTGTGAAGGTGACACTGAGAAAAGGGGTAGGAAACATATGTTACCCTTGGTTCTGGGTGCAGAAGAATGTTTGCTGAGGCTTTTGCTGCTACTAATTGAATAGTACTGGTGCATCTACGTGCTGTTCTGAGCTGGTTCTCCTCATCTCACATCCCACATCTTGGGGTAGGTCTTAGGTTTCTCAGAGATTTCCCTGCAAAATTTGCAATTGCTTTTTATTCCTCCCTTCCTCATCCTCATCTCAGAAGTGTGATTCATCAAAGATGCTCAATTCTTACATACTATTTGAAGAAAAGTCTAGAGCTTTATGAAAATAATTTGTGTCTTCACAAAGCATCTCCTTCACAGTGTTTCTTGAGGACTCCCTTTCCAATCTACGGCTTACTCAGTTTATGCCATCTGCTAGGGGATATTCTTAGGAAATTCTTAGTGCTCAAGGCTATGTCATGCTCTTGCAACATGGTGGGAGTTAGAGTTTTCAGTTGCACTGCTTGGTTGAGAAATCGCTGATGGGAAGAATATGCACCAGTTACAAGCATCACATGCTGAAGAATAAGGATTGAAGGGGGTACAAAATTGCTCAAATCTATTCCAGTGAAAATTTTCTTGGACATGCTATTCATTAGGCTAGGAACACAGAACAGTTTATGTTGGAATGGACCTTTAAAGACCAAGATCGAATCCCTCTACCATGGGCAGGGGATTGTCTGCCACTAGGTCAGACTGCCCAGGATCCAATCCAACCTGGTATTCAATATTTCTAGGGCCTGGATGTGGGTCAGTATTGCTGAGATAATTATCTGGTCTTTGCTACTCCTGAGGCCCTGCAGGAAGTCAGGATAAAGGAGGAGTTTGCCTCAGTGAATGAGGACTGGGTTAAGGACCAGTTAAGCAATCTGGACATCTGTAAATCCATGGTTCCTGATGGGATGCACCGACAGGTGCTAGAAGAGCTGGTGGAAGTCATTGTTAGGCCACTCTCAATTATCTTTGGTAACTTGTGGAGAACAGTAGAGATGCCTGAGGACTGGAGGAAAGCAAATGTCACTCCAGCCTTTGAAAAGGGCAAGAAGGAGGATCTGGATAACTATAGGCTGGTCAGCCTCTCTGCCATCCCTGGAAAGGTGATGGAACAACTTATCCTTGCTGTTGTCTCTAGGCTTATCAAGGATAAGACTGTCATTAGGGGTATCAAAATGACTTCACCAAGGGAAAGTCATGCTTAACCAACCTGGTAGCCTTTTATGAAGACATTACTATAATCTATCCACCTGGTTAAGCAGTGAATGGGGTCTATCTTGATTTTAGTAAAGCATTTGACACTGTCTCCCCCAGAATTCTCAGATCTAAACTGAGGAAGTGTGGTGTGGATGATCAAGTAGTGTGGTGGATTGTGAGCTAGCTGAAGGAAAGAAGCTGGAGAGTTGTGCTCAATGTGACAGTGCCTACTTGAAAGCCTGTGTCTAGTGAAATCCCTCAAGGGTCAGTACTGGGACTAGTACTATTCGATATATTCATCCTCAACTTGAATGAGGGAATAGAGTGCACTGCCAGCACTGGGACACTGATGATACTGGGAAAACAGGGAGGAGTAGCTGACATTCCAGAAGGCTGTACTGCCATCCAGCAAGACCTGGACGGGCTGGAAAGTTAAGAGGGGAGAAACTTAAT